CCTCAGAAACGATTTTGTCCCTGGGAAAACCGATTCTGTGCCCCTCAGAAACGTTTCTGTTGTGCTCCAACTCGAGGAACGAATCTGTCGTCCCCCTCAGTATCGATTCTTTCCCCGGAATAACGATTCTGTGTCCCTCAGTAACTATTCAGTGTCACCCCTGATGTAACGATTCTGTGTCCCTGATAACGATTCTGTGTCCCTCAGTAACGATTCTGTGTCCCTGAGTAACGATCTGTGTCCCTGAGTAACGATTCCTGTGTCCCCCAGAGTAACGATTCTGTGTCCCTGAGTAACGATTCTGTGTCCCCTGAGTAACGATTCTGTGTCCCTGAGTAACGATTCTGTGTCCCTGAGTAACGATTCCTGTGTCCCTGAGTAACGATTCTGTGTCCCTGAGTACATTTCCCTGTAACGATTCCCTGAGGTAACGATTCTGTGTCCCTGAGTAACAATTCTGTGTCCAGTAACGATTCTGTAACAATTCTGTGTCCCTGAGTAACAATTCTGTGTCCCCTGAGTAACAATTCGTGTTCCCTGATATCGATTCTGTGTCCCTGAGTAACAATTCTGTGTCCCTGAGTAACAATTCTGTGTCCCTCAGTACAATTCTGTGTCCTCTCAGTAACAATTCTGTGTCCCTGAGTAACAATTCTGTTCCCTGAGTAACAATTCTGTGTCCCTCAGGTAACGATTCTGTGTCCCTCAGTAACGATTCTGTGTCCTGAGTAACGATTCTGTGTCCCTGAGTAACGATTCTGTGTCCCTGAGTAACGATTCTGTGTCCCTGAGTAACAATTCTGTGTCTGTCCCTGAGTAACGATTCTGTGTCCCTGAGTAACAATTCTGTGTCCCTGAGTAACGATTCTGAGTCCCTGAGAAACGATTCTGTGTCCCTGAGTAACGATTCTGTGGCCCTAAAGTCTCTGTGGCCCCTAACTCTAAAGTCTGTCCCTAATACAGACAGGTCTGTCTCTCATTTTTTTTTATTCAAAAGACTAGACATGGGTATGCTGAAATTTTTGTTTCCTTTTGGATGCATTTGTTCATTGAAGAATTCTGTTTCATCATATTTGTTATGTTGATCTGATTCATTTTTGGGACTCGTTTCACATCCTTTTTGAATATTTGTTAGTCCAGGTGGATTCAAAACATTTTCCACTTTTTAAAGATTACTATATATTAGTTTTGGGTTCAATATTTATCAAAACCATTCAATATTTTTGGACGCAACTGAATTTTTATGACCTAAGAATTGCATTAGACCAGTGGTTCTTAACCTTGTTGGAGGTACTGAACCCCACCAGTTTCACCGAACCCTTCTTAATTGGAAAAATAAAATATGATTTTTAAAATTCAAAACATAGGTGTATATTTATACATAGGTGCACAAAATGAACAAAACCGTTAAGAACAAAGAACAAAACCATTAAAACATGATTTTCACACAAAAACAAAAACATAATAATGAATATTTACTGCACGAATCATATGAGTCGGGTGTGGGTCTTCACCTCTGCCGAACCCGCGAGACTGACTCACTGAACCCCTGGGGTTCGATCGAACCCAGGTTAAGAACCACTGCATTAGACTGTGGTACTAAACTGAGTGACTGTGACATTTACAAATTGAATTTAAATCACAAATTTACTGTAATGTGGATTATCGAAGAATTCAAAACTTTAACTCATTTCTCCATGGGTCCGAACTATTATTGCATCATGTGATGTCATCCAAATGAAACTAATGCATTCGTTAATTTCGTTATAACTTTTTTTTTAATTTGTTGACATTCATTACTATGTCTGTTCGGAGATCAATATACCGTATTTTTTGCTCCATAAGACGCACCTGACCAAAAGATGCACCTAGGTTTTAGAGGAGGAAAACAAGAAAAAAAATATTCTGAACCAATGGACTGCAGACATAGCACAGGAAATGACCAGAGACTGCAGACATAGTAGAGGAGATGACCAGAGACTGCGGACATACTACAGGAGATAACCAGAGACTGCGGACATAGTACAGGAGATGACCAGAGACTGCGGACATAGTACAGGAGATGACCAGAGACTGCAGACATAGTACAGGAAATTACCAGAGACTGTGGACATAATACATGAGATGACCAGAGATTGCAGATGTACTACAGGAGATGACCAGAGACTGGGGACATAGAAAAGGAGATGACCAGAGACTGCAGACATAGTACAGGAGATAACCAGAGACTGCGGACATAGTACAGGAAATGACCAGAGACTGCAGACATAGTACAAGAGATGACCAGAGACTGTAGACATACTACAGGAGATGACCAGAAACTGCAGACATAGTACAGGAGATGACCAGAGACTGCAGACATAGTACAGGAGATGACCAGAGACTGCAGACAAACTACAGGAGATGACCAGAGACTGGGAACATAGTACAGGAGATGGCCAGAGACTGGGAACATAGTACAGGAGATGACCAGAGACTGCGGACATACTACAGGAGATGACCAGAGACTGCGGACATACTACAGGAGATAACCAGAGACTGGGGACACAGTACAGGAGATGACCAGAGACTGTGGACATAGTACAGGAGATCACCAGAGACTGCGGACATAGTGGGCACCCGACTGTGCAGCCGCAAGCTGTCACAGGTGGGTGCCTATGCTAAAGATGCCGGCGCATGGTAGAGAAGACAGTTAGAACACCACTGGATCGAGGAACAGGTAGGACTGAGCGGCCGGCCCTGTATTCTAACACGGCAGTGGCGGGAATACTGGGCCAGCCACTCCATATTCGCTCCATAAGACGCACAGACATTTTCCCCCATTTTTTGGGAGAAAAAGTGCGTCTTATGGAGCGAAAAATACTGTACATCCGAATCTCCAAAAATTGATTTGTTACGGAACAAAGCGTACATGTCTACAAAATGCATCCTCTGTATGGTTACAGACACGTTCAACATTATATCATTCACTTCAAGAGAGTTTGTGCAAGTTCCAGGAACACATTTACAGCTCACCCAAACAAAGAAGAATAAAGGTCTTTCAAAAGTGTGCAGTATTAGTCTGGTACTTCATAGTGCTGTTGGTGAGTAGAGAATAAGATGGTTGCCTAAGGATAGGTGGGAGGAGATGTGTGGGTTGCCTATGGGGTAACCATGAGACTAGCAATATATATACTGTATATTGGGTTCTTTACAATAAAATTAATGGGAAGTGGGCAAAATTCAAAGAGGAGGGTCTGCCATTGACATTTTTAAACTCGTCCAACCTTGTCTGGATAATTCCCTTCTCCCTCTGCTTTGTATGTGCTGCACATAGTCCCCCATATGTGCTTATGTGTCTATGCTGTCCATAATATTTTTTAACCTCCCTAGCGGTATTCCCGAGTGTAGCTCGGTGTAAAATTTCAGTACCAAAAGCGGTAACCCCGAGCTACACTCGGGCTTACCATGCGGCGCTGCATAGGGATTCCCTGCAGAGCATACCTTGTCCTTTGCTCCCGCAATGTGTCCCCTGCAGCATCCCTGGCCATCTCCTCTGGCCGATGCCAGCATCTGGCTTCTGTGTTCCGATCCCTGTGCTGTCGGGACGTACGGGCGCTGGAACCCGCGAGAAATTTGAAAATTTTTAAAAATGTCATTTTTTTTCTAAACAAATTTTACATAGTAAAACATTGCTGTTTCAAACCATTTCACATACATTTTGTCCCTAGTGCTTTGTCCTGTCCCCTGTCTACATTTTGACTGTTCTTTCTGCCTGGAAACTTAGAAAAGTCCATGGTGTCCAAAAAGCGTCCCTTTAGGTCAAAAGCGGTTTTAGATCAGCTAGAGAACAGCGATAGTAAATCAGAACCATTTGCAGAATTGAGTGATAATGATTTGTGGGGAAATTTGTCATCAGACACTGAAAACGATTTTGCGACTTTGCTCAGCAATGTGCAAACTTGGCGCTATATTTCAAATTTCAGTGTTTTTGGTTTGATTCTATTATTGAATTAAATGTATTATTATTATATTATTATTTTTTATATGATTATTTATTAAGTTATAATTTATGATTTCGTGTTTAAAATTTTATCTTACCCGGGATGTTTAATAGACTCTTGTTCGGACAGATTTCAGTGAGTTATTCCTAAAAATTACAGCCTACAATAAAAAAAAAACTACATACAGTGGAACCTCAACTTACGAGTTTAATTCGTTCCGTGGCCGAGCTCGTAACTTAATATGCTCGCTCGTTAAATCAATTTTCCCCATAAGAAATAATGGAAACGGCCGTAATCCGTTCCAACCCTCAAAATGGCACCTCATATTTTTCATTTTTCTTGTTATTTCATAAGGAAAAAAGCTTTTTACATAACTAATATTATATAAAAACAAAATAGAAAGAAAATATGAAGATATAATAAGGTTGTATACAATTTACTTACCTTGGAGATGATTTTTGTTTTCGCTTAATTCTCATCACTCTCTTCACTTTCACTAGTTCTTGGCCTTTTTGCTACACTTTGCTCACTTCGAGCTGAAGGCCTTTTTCTTAAGAAACATGTCTAAGGAAGTCTGTTTCATTCTCCCTTTGAGAATGTTTCTGAAACGACGTAGGCACGTGTCGTTGAAAAGCTCTGTCGCACGACTCGTTGCAATTTTTTCAGGATGGTTCTTTTCAACAAAACCTGCCACCCTCTCCCACATTGCCAAAATATCCTTGAGGTCTTTTGTACTGATTATCTCCGGCTCTGTCTCCTCTCCCTCCGAAGTAGCTTCAGTTAATGCTTCTGTGTGCCGTTGCTCTTGTAACTCCTTTAACTCGTCAGTCGTAAGTTCCTCGGAGTGCTCCTCAACGAGTTCCTCGATGTCTCTTTCATCCACCTCCAGACCTAAAGTCTTGCCAATGGACACGATCTCTTCCTCCACTGGCTCCTCTTCTTCCTCAATCTCAAACCCTTCAAAATCTCTTTCAGCCACATTTTCAGGCCACAGCTTCTTCCAAGCAGAGGTCAAGGTCCTTTTCGTAACCCCCTGCCAGGCAATATCGAATGATTTTGAGGCCTATTGCTATGTTAAAATGCTCCTTCCAAAACTCTCGAAGGGTGAGGTTTGTGTTCTCCGTCACCTCAAAGCAACGGCAAAACAGGTGCTTGGTGTAGAGTTTCTTGAAATTTGATATTACCTGTTGGTCCATTGGCTGGAGGATAGGGGTGGTGTTTGGAGGAAGGTAGAGAACCTTCACAAAATTATACTCGTCGAGTATTTCTTCCTCGATCTGTGGTGGATGTGCAGGAGCATTGTCGAGGACGAGAAGGGCTCGCAGGGGCAGGTTGTTGTTCTTCAAATATTTCTTCACCGAAGGACCAAACACAAGGTTTACCCAGTCGATAAAGAACTGCCTGGTGACCCACGCCTTAGGGTTTGCCCTCCACATAACATGGAGTTTCTCCTTTATTATCTTGTGTGCTTTAAAGGCTCTGGGGTTCTCCGAATGGTATACGAGTAGCGGCTTTATTTTGCAGTCGCCACTCGCATTGGCACACAGGGCGAGGGTCAACCTATCCTTCATAGGTTTGTGTCCTGGCATCCTCTTCTCCTCTTCAGTGATGTATGTTCTCCTCGGCATCTTCTTCCAGAACAGCCCTGTCTCGTCACAGTTGAAGATTTGCTGGGGGATGTATCCTTCATCCTCGACGAATTCTGCGAAAGTTTTCACGAACTCCTCTGCTGCCTTTACATCAGCACTTGCTGCCTCACCATGCCTAACAACGGAGTGAATCCTCGTCCTTTTCTTAAAATTATCAAACCAGCCCCGACTGGCTTTAAAGGATTCCTCCTCCGTTGAAGTGCCTGGGGTTTGCTGTTGTAAATCTGAAAAAATACTGCGCGCCTTCTCGCAGATTATTCCCTTGGTGACGGTATCTCCGGCAAGTTGTTTTTCCGTCAGCCACACCAACAGCAGATTCTCCATCTTCTCATGCACATCTGTACGGCGCTTTGAAATAATCTTGACACCTTTGGCTGGCTTAATTTTCTTTAGTGACTCCTTCTGCTTTAAGATGGTGCAGATCGTTGACGTTGTACGGTCGTAGTGCTTGGCCAGTTCCTTTACTCGCATGCCTTGCTCATGCTTCTTGACGATTTCAAGCTTTATTTCGAGGGACATCATCCTCCTCTTCTCGGTACTCGCACTACCACTTGCTTTCTTTGTGCCATGATTACAACAAAGTTAGAAGTTGGGATTTCAATCACGTGTACACAGTGAGAGAGAGAGAAAGGCCCAGAGATGGGATGCTGTGACTCATACCCTCTGAGCTGCGCGCACCTCGAAAATATACACTTAGAGCTGCGTGCGCCTCGAACTCGTATCTTAAAATTCTGCTCGCATGCTGAAGCAAAAAATCGTCCAAGCGACTGCTCGTATCTCGGAAAACGCGCACGTTAGTTCGCTCGTAGGTTGAGGTTCCACTGTATTTCCATGCAAAATAATGGTATCGCTTTCAGCACCAAAAATCTGAAATAATCATACCGCCAGGGAGGTTAATTCTGTCACAATTTTTAGGAGGGGTGGTGGTGCTATGGGTGGGAATATTTATTACACTTTTACCCCATAGATATGAGTGCACTTTGTGATATACTACCTAGTTGATTATAGGTTATGTCTTAGATCACAGTAGTATACGACTTGAAATATGGATAAATACAGCTTGCTATATCACTAGCCACTAATTTCCTGCTTGGACAAACTAGGCTACATTTAATACACAGACATGTAGTGACAAATCACAAACATGTCTGCAACCCATTGTGAATAAAATCAATACAGTAAATGCTGTGCTGCAAAGTAAATTGTACAAAGGGCTAATATCCTAAATGCCCACAACCTCTAAATAATGAAATACAACTAATCCAAAATACAAATGTGAAAGATGATGTGTATAAAACAAATGTGTAAATGCTGTAAAATGACACAGTGTCTGTCTTGACTAGTTTGTTTGGTTTATACCATAAAACAAATAAAAAATTAGGTGCCAAATGTCACTCAAAATTCCATTATAAATTCTTGTGTGTTTCTAGAAACCGTCACTGTGTTCACAGTGCTCCTAGGTTCAAACGGTGCCACTGTTGTGCTCATAGAACTCTCACCTTCAATATACTTGAATGCACCTATAAGGGTTTATTCACTGAGGTTACTTCACTCTATGAATCCTCCAATATTCTCCGTCCACAAGGGGCTCTCATTACTTCCCCCCAGTCTCTCGACCCAAAGTGCAAGTCCCTTTTAAGAGTCACTTGTGGTCATAGTCCCTTTATTCATATAGGGGAAACAGAGGAATCTCTAATAGTGTAGTATGTTTGAATAAATCAATTTTTATTAAAAGTAATACCCTTACATGTTAAAACCATGTAAAAACGCAATTAAAATAGATAGAGAAACCTGCAGACCGCACTTCTGCATGCGTCACTTCCGGTCCGCGTCTGTCTCCAGCCACGCCTCCAGCCAGGACCACTCATCAACACAGGGTGAGTGTCAGTCCATGTGGGGCACTTCGAGCACTGTCAAGTGGAGCAATTTTTATATACCAGCATTTGAGAACTGGCACTTTCCTTCACAGTTTGAGACTTTTTTGAGGTGTCGCAAAGCTACTAAAATACCGCATGAGTTACAGTATTAAGTCATGCGGTATTTTAGTAGTGAAAACATTCTTCTTCATGTTTCAGCTGTCAGCTGAATGTAAAAAGAAT